GTCAGAAAAGTAGACAAGATCCCTGTGGCTGGGACTCCAGGCGGTCTGAGCAGAGTGTGTGGACCCTACACTTGTGCATTTGCCTGGGGTGGGTGCCAGGTGGAAGCTTAAAATGCTACATAACTTGTGAGCACATGTTCTTTAAATAAGTGTCAACCTTCCAAGGAGGCCAGAGTTGTTGAGGTTTCATCGATTCCCTTAGCACGTCTCTTCTGACTTCAGCCGGATCCGATTCTGACATTTGCCAAGTATAGGAAATAGTGAAAAACAAAGCAAACCTGCTTGGTAAATATGAAAGGCCATGTAGCTTTATGCTTTTGTTTAAATAAATAAACAAACAAACAAGCAAGCAAGCAAATAAATAAGTAGGTAATACTACTGTAGGTTGTGTTGTTTGGTGAGTTGAATACCATCGATTCTTTTTTTCTATATAAACTGGTCATCTTAGCATGATTTTCGTGGTCATTTTCTTAACGCCGTGCAGGATGAGGAAGAGCTGCTTGCTGGCAGAGATGCTGAGCACTTCCTATTGGGCTCACATCACGGGGCTGAAGATTTCGTGGCGGTGAGACCTGCCTATTATGAAAGCGTCCACATTCGGCTGCAGAAGGAGAAAGAACTCCTGTTCATACCCAGTAGGCTGACAGGTACTGGCTCTTTCTGTCTTCCCGCTCACCCTCCTTTTCCTTCAGTGACAGAAGGATGATGGTGTCTAAGGACGCCAGATCTCCGTCACTGATCCCAGGTTCTAATCTGATTTCATAATCAAGAAATAGCTCCACACAAACACACACACAAAAAAAAATGTAAACATGGAAAAATATCCACTGAACAAGCCATTATGGACAGAATCACAGAAGATATCCCAGAATGCCATGGGAGCCCCTTCATCATATCAGTGACCATCCCTGGGAGCTCTGAGAGTCAGGCTGTGAAAAGGAACAACTGTGTTTCACCCTCTACTCACACTCAGTGCTTCTAGAACCGTCCTGTGACCAGATGTGTAGGTTTTTACTTACACCAACCAATCCTCCCATGCCAGCTAGGTGTCCTACGATTCAATCCTGCTCTACCTACCAGTGGTGAGTGCTGACCCCACACAGTAAGGGCTCAGTCCCACAAGACTACCCACTACTTCAGACAGCAATTGCCAAATAGCTTGTCCCCAGGCTACACACACTTTTACTCGACTTTGCTGCAAATCAGGGGTTCCCCTGATTCCCTCTTCAGGTTTTGTAACTAGATATAACAGCACATAGAACTCAGGGAAACACTTCTATTATTGGTTTATCTATAATAATAAAAGCATAATATGCTAATTAGACAGGACAGCCAAATGACCTTCCAGACGACCTTCTGGACGAAGCTGGGACTGCGAGGGCCGAGGCGAGCCATTGCGGCTGTGAGGGCCGAGCCTCTTGCACGAATTTCATGCATCAGGCCTTTGGTTATATAATAAAGAACATAGAGCTCACAGGTGAAGAGATGCAGAGGGCAAAAGGTGTGTGTCACCAACCAGGAAGCTCTTCAAAACCGATTAATTACATCACTGCCGTGGGTGATTCATTCTATCTTTGGTCCCTCTGTCCCTCTTTTCTCCCAGAGGTGGGAGTGGAAGGAGTGGGTGATGAAAGCCCCAACTGTCTCCTCACGTGATTGGTTCCCTGGACACCACACTAATCCTGAGACCATTCAGGAGTCTTCTCATTAGCATACAAAAGGGTGGACAGTTATCACTTTGGAGATTCCAAGGGTTTGAGCAGCTGTGTGTTTGGAAGCAGACTGGGGGAGTTCCTTGAGGTGGGGAGTGGCCAGGGTACTGGAGCAGACCCTCTGATTAACCCCTCCTTACTGCTCCTTTCACATACTAGTAGGTATTGAATGTTTTCATCTCTACAACATTTTTCCAAAAATATCCAATGCGAGTTGACAATATACATTACCTGCCTCCTAGTGCTGTGGAGAATGCAAGAAAAAGTATGAGAAATAATTCCTACTTTTAAAATCCTAGAAGCTAACTTGATTTGGGGCAGGGAAATGCATTAAAGTGCAGGAAAGACTATTTGTTCAGCTCTGACGTTGCACCCACTTTCAATATGGGGAAAAAGGGACACTAACTCAAGAAGAACCAAAGCCTTACTCCCCTTCCCCCCCCAAAAAAATGGTCTTTAAAAAAAAAGGCTAACAAATCTTGTATTGCTCATGATTAAATAAAACCATCTCAGCATTGGCCTAATAAAACAATGAATCCACTTTTTGGTATTTTAATAATCCTTTCTAAAGCTTTTACTGCTATTGATAATATATTTATGTGCTTGTGGGAGTGTAAATAAGAGCCCGTTTACAAAAAATAACTCATTAAAGGTACTTATTAAAGGAGGCCACCAGCTGCCTGTTGCCCTTGTTACAGCTCATTACCAGTAGTCGCGGACCTTCAACAGAGGTAATATGCCTGATGCCATTAGCATGGAGCCCACTCCCAGGGAACAGTGCACAGCTCACTCCAGCTTATAAACCCTGACATTCTGTTGCTCTCTGCTTCTCCTCAGCTTCCGCCTGGCTTCCCTTCTGCCGAAGAAGCCTATAACTTCTTCACCTTCACCTTTGATCCCGAACCAGAGGAACTGGAGGAAAAACCAAAAGCAAAACATAGAGAGGGAGCCAATCAAGAGGAGGTGGAAGGAGAGGAGGAAGGGCCACCTATTCAAGGAGTAAACAAAACGGTATTTAATATTTTGACGGTGATGATGATGATTATGATGGTAATGACAATGAGGACCACAATGATGAGGAGGATGATGAGGAGGATGATGAGGATGAGGATGATGTTAATAAGGAGGAAGTGGATGACGATGATACCCTAGCCAGGAAAAAAGTGGCTGAAGGCAAAACTGCCACCGCCACACAGAACAGCTCATCCATGTCTTGGGTGAAAGAAAAGGGGTATTAGCTTCACATAACCTTCTGTAGCCTTTGATTTCACCCCGCAATTTGGGTAGTGAGGGCCTTGAATTAAATCTGTCCATCTTCTGTGGAGAAAGAAACAAAAGCAGAACAATGTGGCTTGCAGATTTTTCTTGCCCCCACAACCTTACAGGCAAGCAGCTTTTTGTGTCCCATGCCACACCCAAGCTACAACTCAGATTCCCTAATTGTGAGTGGTATGTGTGCCATAAAAGAGAGCATGCCTGTAAAAGTGTGTAAAGGACTTACCCGGCTGGTGTGGCTCAGTGGTTGAGTGTCAACCTATGAACCAGGAGGTCACAGTTCAATTCCCCAACAGGGCATACACCCGGGTTGTGGGCTCGAGATCCCCAGTGTGGGGCATGACCTCCTGGTTCACAGGTCGATGCTCAACCACTGAGCTGCACCGGCCGGACAAAACATGCCCTTTGAAGTCATCTGTACGTGAAGCCCTCTCCTGTAGTCCACGCTCTGGCCTGCCCAGACCTTTGTTCATATTTTCATACTGAAAGTGGACTTAGTCTTCCTGGCGGGAGTTTTAGATCATCTAGAGGCCCTTTCACTCCCTTTTTCTGTTCTTTGAGTTTAATATTTAGGAAGACATTTGAAGACCATAACAAAAAAGTCAAAAGTCAAATTATAGTACAGTGATGGGTGAATGGAAGGTTAAACATCCTTTCTACTACTACTAGGAATGAAGGAAGAAGAAAGAACAATTGGGTCATAGTAAAGAGTAGTCTAGCATGCAAAACAGTATCTGACAAACAGTAGTATGCAATCAATATTGAAGATCTATATGACTGAATGACTATCAGAATAAATTAATGAAATTAATGGGGAGAATAGTGTAACAGGTAGGATGAAATGAGGGAAGCATAACATGTTTATAATAATTATATTACTTTTATATTCATTAAGCTACTTCAAATCCTTTTGGGAATCAGATGAGAAACTATTTAATCACTCAGCAATCCTTATATTATTCAAATTTGTCATGAGCCTTGCCACAATTCCTTATCCTGGGACTTACAAGGAAAGGAATGGGAAAGGAAGGGAATTGAGTGAACATTTATTCATTGAGAGTACTTTGCTTATGTTATTGCATTTGATCTTTGAACAAGCCTGTGAGGCAAGTATTATTATTTCATCATCTTACAAATGAGGAAACTGAAGTTCAAAGGGGTTAAGTGATTTGCCTGAGGTCTTACATCATTATTTATATGGTACTATTCTCAGCTGTCAAAATCAGCTACTATAAATACTGTATAAAAGAAGAAAATAGATCTGTGAGTACAATTTAAAAACCATTCTGACTGGAGAAATTGAGTGGCGACAGAACATGTTTAGAAAAACAGCATGGGAAGCAGGAAATTCTTCAAACACTGAAGTATATACAGGGTGGGACTGTAGGGTTTGGAATCAGATTGTCTGTGTTCTATAACCTTAAGCAAGTTATTTATCCTCTTTATGCCCCAGGGTCCTCATTTGACAAAAGAGAATTGGAATCTTTCTCCTGATGCATGATATAAAGCAGGGGTGGGCAAACTTTTTGACTCGAGGGCCACAATGGGTTCTTAAACTGGACCGGAGGGCCGGAACAAAAGCATGGATGGAGTGTTTGTGTGAACTAATATAAATTCAAAGTAAACATCATTACATAAAAGGGTACGGTCTTTTTTATTTTTAGTTTTATTCATTTCAAACGGGCTGGATCCGGCCCGCGGGCCGTAGTTTGCCCATGGCTGTTCTAATCTGATTTCATAATCAAGAAATAGCTCCACACAAACACACCAAAAAAAATGTAGAACATGGAAAGATATCCACTGAGCAAGCCATTATGGACAGAATCACAGAAGAAATCCCAGAATGCCATGGGAGCCCCTTCATCATATCAGTGACCATCGCTGGGAGCTCTGAGAGTCAGGCTATGAAAAGGAACAACTGTGTTTCACCCTCTACTCACACTCAGTGCTTCTAGAACAGTCCTGTGACCAGATGTGTAGGTTTTTACTTACACCAACCAATCCTCCCATGCCAGCTAGGTGTCCTACGATTCAATCCTGCTCTACCTACCAGTGGTGAGTGCTGACCCCACACAGTAAGGGCTCAGTCCCACAAGACTACCCACTACTTCAGACAGCAATTGCCAAATAGCTTGTCCCCAGGCTACACACACTTTTACTCGACTTTGCTGCAAATCAGGGGTTCCCCTGATTCCCTCTTCAGGTTTTGTAACTAGATATAACAGCACATAGAACTCAGGGAAACACTTCTATTATTGGTTTATCTATAATAATAAAAGCATAATATGCTAATTAGACAGGACAGCCAAATGACCTTCCAGACGACCTTCTGGACGAAGCTGGGACTGCGAGGGCCGAGGCAAGCCATTGCGGCTGTGAGGGCCGAGCCTCTTGCACGAATTTCATGCATCAGGCCTCTAGTTATATAATAAAGAACATAGAGCTCACAGGTGAAGAGATGCAGAGGGCAAAAGGTGTGTGTCACCAACCAGGAAGCTCTTCAAAACCGATTAATTACATCACTGCCGTGGGTGATTCATTCTATCTTTGGTCCCTCTGTCCCTCTTTTCTCCCAGAGGTGGGAGTGGAAGGAGTGGGTGATGAAAGCCCCAACTGTCTCCTCACGTGATTGGTTCCCTGGACACCACACTAATCCTGAGACCATTCAGGAGTCTTCTCATTAGCATACAAAAGGGTGGACAGTTATCACTTTGGAGATTCCAAGGGTTTGAGCAGCTGTGTGTTTGGAAGCAGACTGGGGGAGTTCCTTGAGGTGGGGAGTGGCCAGGGTACTGGAGCAGACCCTCTGATTAACCCCTCCTTACTGCTCCTTTCACATACTAGTAGGTATTGAATGTTTTCATCTCTACAACATGGTATTGCAAGTAAACGCATTCGTCTTCTCCTTTGTTCTGCTTTGAGAAATTAATTTGGAAAATAGGCCTTTTTCCAAGAACAGAAAGGAAATCTTTGGGGGCGGGGGAGGTTTGCTTTCTCAAAAGGCATTTGGAAACGTTAGGTGGGCACTAAAGTGGCTGCATTTCTCTGTGGACTGTCTAGTGCCCACATATAAGAAGCTTCCTGAGAACGTGCAGCCCAGGTTCCTGGAGGACGAAGGACTATACATTGGAACCAGGCCCGAGGTGCCGCGGGCCACGCAGAATATCATGGAGAACAGGCTGCTGGTGCAGGAGTCCGTAAGCACACCCCCTCCCAGCGTCGCCCCGAGTGACCCAGGGGATCCCTTTTTCCACAGGGCAGTCACTGCACCACCCAACTCATTTCCCCTTGGGGGTGTCCATACACAGCCGTTTAGTTTTTTGTAACTTGTCTCAGAATGTTTCATGATCTCAAGGGGTACACACTCTCACTGCTGAAAAAACATCTTCTGCCAGCTGCATTCCGGCTTCTGTAAATCAGACGTTGGCAACAATTTCCCAATTCATAGAAATAAATGTTCAAAGATCCAAGATAGAATGTTCTCTATTGCTTTTCTCCTTTTTTTTTAATTTTTAATGAATAGAATACAAAATTTTCCATAGCAATTATTACAGCTTTTTCTTAAGGTTTTTTTTATTTTTATTTTTTGCAGGTGGGGTGGTAGTGAGAACTATATCTTAAGTTAATTGTAGGGGACATTAGTGAAGACTCAATTTCTAATGGAAACAGAGACTGTAGAAGATCTATTGGGGAAGAGGGAAGGTACATAGATGTGTATGTGGACCCGGAATTTCCCTGCAAACATTATTTATTTTGTAAACCATTTCTGTCCAATGAGTAGAAAATGTCCTTCCCTCTGCCTGCTCCCCAGGACAGAAGGTGGTTCGGAGATGACGGCAGAATCCTAGCCCTGCCAAACCCCATCAGGCCTTCCCCTTCCCGGCCGCCAGCCTTGACCCAGGAGCAAGACATTCATGCAGAGCTGGAAACGCTGTATAAGAAGGTAAACCTCCCTCTCATTTTTAATAGGTGCCTTTGCTTGAAAGTGCTTTGCTGCTTGAATCACTTGGAGTACTGAATTTGTGGTGTTCTACTTTGATTTATTTTTTAAATAATTTACATCTTACACATAAAGAACAGACAGCAGGCCTATTTACAAGGGAGTCCACTGTGCTCACCTAATCCCTTCTTTAACCAGGAGCGAGCTTACCAGGTGGGGTAGCTGAGTCAGTGTCTTATTTGCATATCCAGTTTAGTTGCTCTTATATTTCCTCTTTCCTTTCTGTCATCTTACTTCAGTTGCTACTATTTTTCCAGGACAAATATGGACACTTGGATTTTAATCCCACCAATGATTATTCTTTTTCTGTACAACTTTATTTTTTTCCTCCATGGGCATGCATCTCTACTCATGCTGAGACTGTCAGCAGATGGTCCATATGCACCATTGTTGATAGTTCTGGTTTTCAGTTTTCAATTAAAGACTGAAAGGATTAAATCAATTTCAAAATTAAAAGAATATGCCCTATCAATGTTATTTATTCTTGGGAGAAATTGTAGCAAACAAAAAGAAAGACAACAAACCAGGGGGTCTTGCTCCCCAATAGGAAGAGAGTTGGGGTCTTTTGAGTGGTCTTGCCCAATGACTACCAAGAGTCCTGGGAGCTATTTTTATTTAGTTGAGCTCAGCTTACAGCAGAGGCCACCAATAATCACTTGAAAATGAGCTAATGCAGATTTGGGGAAGGAGACACAAAGTACAGGTGCCCCAGGTAATATTTTAAGTAATTGAAACTATGCTGCCAACGTTACTTCTTCATCAAGAAGAGTACAAGATGGAACCTGAGAGCCACACCTGAGTGATCTCATACCCCATGTAAAAGGAAAGGCAAGGCAAGACCCAGCCAGAGCCAAGCAATTAGGAAGGAATGTTCTTTTAAGTCTGTGGAACGATGTTCAGTTGTACTAGTACATGTCTTTGTGAGGTGGGAATGTTCTAAGTCACCCAGGTAGTCTGGGTGCTCACAAGACACATCGTGACCACACAGAGTAAAAAATTCTAACGTGAATGCAGGTGCTAACTGAACACTTTTACTGAAATAAAAGAGGAAAGAAATGGGTCTCCACTGTTGCCATCTAAAGTGTAAGGATCTTAATGACCAGAACTAGGGCTTTCATAACATACAAACTATTGGTGGAGTAAGACCCATGCAGGATGGGCTTTCTGCCCTATAATCCAAAGGGAGAAGAATTCAGCCTGTTTTGGAAGGGACTGAGACATGGTCAATCCTTCCCTATTTATAAACACATCCTGGTTTACAAGGACTTCTTTTAAAACAAAATATCTACAATCTTCTCATTAAAGACATTTTTAATGCTTTTTTCAACATGGTATTTTTAAATGCTATTTTTTTGGAGAAAATGTGTTGTTTTATTAAAATAAAAGTAGGATACAATCTATTGAACTCTTGCAGAAAATCATATGTCCTAAATATACATTAATAGTCTACTAATTTGGCAGAGGACAAAGTATGAGATTAAATGGCTAAAAATAAATAAACTCATATATTCTTACCAGTGCAAAGCAGACAGCAACACCAAACCAGGACAAATTTACCGGTAAATGAAGGCTCATATGTACATGCTTTGTTGTAAGTGTGAATACCAGTACTATTTTGATGACTAATAGTAACTGAAAAGCAGATCACACTCTATAACCTGTGAGAGTATATTTCTGTACATACTTACATGTATGTACACACACACACACACACACACACACACACACACAAACAACCTGGACCTCCCTTTCTTTGCTATTCTTAGTCTGAGACGGGAGAAAGTTAGAATCTTATAATCATAGGAGTCCCCTCTACTGGGCTTTCCAGACTCCCTGTGCACCCCCCAGGCCTTATCCTCCCCCCCACTTGTGTTATAAAGGTCAGATCCCAGTCCTCCTCCTAATGCAGTGGCTGCTTGGAGACAGGCCCAGCACATCGCAGACATCCACCCATTTTGTGGAAGAAATGAGGTGGTATATGTGAAGTGATCGATATGCTGCCTAGTGATCTACAAAATGCTAATCTTTTCTCAGCCTCCCATCCCTACAGATGAAGAAATAGGCTCAGGGATGTGTAGTAACCTCGCCAAGGTTCCAGAGCAAATCAGAGTTAGAACCAGAGCTGGAATTCAAGGATTCCCCCAGCCCAGCCTCTTTAGATGTTGCCATGAAGAGGAATTAAGTGAAGAGATTACTGAACGTTACCCGCAATTGATGAAAGATAGATGCTTCCGTTCTCACTAGAGTTTCTACAACTTCCATTTAACTTCATAACTAACAAACAGTACATTTATGTCACATAAACTTATCATTTTCCAGATAACATAAGTAGGTTCCAAAAGCTCCATTCTGCAAAAACAGAGGATCGAGAGATGTGTCTCAATGCCCACTTCCCAATCACAGTAGTGTCTACATAAATGAAGACACAGAATCAGAAAGGTCTCTCCACCTTGGACCTTCCAACCTTAAAAGCAGTGGTGATCTATGGGGCATATTTAAAGATTTTATGGGATAAACACAGAGGGATTTATTGGGCTTATTATGCACGAAGCAATCCATGGACGTCCCAGTGGAAATTTCCATTCCTGTTTCCACACCCTCAGCTGCTCCATCTCCCTCTTCCACTGTTACTTTGTACATGGAGAATATATCTATGATCCCAATAATGATCAGTTTGGACCAGAATCTATACATCTCTGGTCAAAAGAATTTCAAGGTCACCAGAGACAAAACCTAAGAAACAAGATAGTCTGCGGGACAAAGATTAGAACTGACTTGGGAGAGAGAAAAATCTAAAAAACCTTGGAGACAAGATTAAAATGGTTTCCTTTCTCACTCTTGTCTTTCATTTTTACCTTTCGACTATTCAGAAAAGAGCAGGCCCCTAAAACCACCAGGAAAGGGGATGGAGCATCAATCTGGCTTGACGAGGGTAGGAGGTATTTTGCATCTGAATATCTTTCCATTGCTTTTTAGGTCATTATCTAGTAAGTGCCTTAACTGTGTTCCCCCCAACACTCTGCTCTCTTCGGCAGGCGGTCAGATATGTGCAGAAAACTCAACATATGATTGGATCTGGAGACCTTCCTGAAAATTTCCAATTGGACATTGATATTTCAGGGTTAATCTTTACTCATCATCCCTGTTTTAGCCGAGAGCATGTTTTGGCAGCCAAGCTGGCCCAGTTATATGACCAGTACCTTGCAAGACGCCAGAGAAACAAGGCACAATTTCTTACTGATAAGGTACACTCTTCCACACTTATTGTTGGAGGGGTGGGTTCTTCTGATGAGCCCAATCAACAGAAACATGTCCAGCAGCAAATGTCCATGTGGCTCCTCTTTCTAGGATGTATGACATGTTGTTATACTGGAAACAAAAGGAAAGATATGACTATGTACTTGAACGTGTGCAAATTCAGTGGCACACACTTGGCTAAAAGAGAAAGATTTGTGTGAACAGTGCAAGCGATCCCACCTACCAGGGGTGGGTATTAGATGAAAGATGCTTGGCTGTGTCTTGCTTATGTGACCTCAGATGCTGAGGCTGTTCAAGGCTAGAGAATCTCTCCGTCCTTAGAAACATTCTCATTTTATATATAATTCCCATAACGTGGCACCTGAACACAAGTCAGTTGTTTCAACTGATGCTCAAAGACATGGCCATCCATTTCAGAATGGTTTCCAATGTAATCCCATCCTGTGGAATTTTCATGGATAATTTTGACTATGAGGAATTTTAGTCTTCTACCCTGTTCTTAAAACATACTACCTCCAAAAATATGATAACTCCATGGTACCTTCTTTTATAAGTTTATTATTTTATGTTCTCTTCACATCACAAAAATATCAGTGTAAGACCAAGATCCAGAAGGACCCACTTTTAGCCTTGAAAAAAACCTTGTGTCTAAGACAGGCACATAAAAGCAACATCTCTCATGAGCCTCTTGATTATCTGGGCCACAGAACAAGGACAGACATGCAATGTTCTTTAGTATTCCTTTTTTTTTTTCAAGAATAGAAGAAGGAGTCCATCCCTTCGATAGCTCAGCTGGTAGAGCAGAGGACTGTGGTTGATTCCCAAGAATAGAAGAAACAGCTCTTTGTAAAAGTTCATTTTGGCAAAAGCCTGGAGACAGCTAGATGCTTGGACATCCATTTACGTGATGGGTCCTTGGGTCATTTTGTGGGTGGGTCATTTTATATGTGGGTCCAGGCAAGTAGCCTGCAGTAGGGAGGACAATGTCTAACTCAAAACATGTATCCATGTCTTTTTAAGCTCCAAGCTTTAAGAAATGCTGTTCAGATGGGCCTTGATCCAGCAAAATCTCATAAGTCTGTTGATATAACCCCCAAAGCCATCAATGAGTATAAATCTGAAATTCGGTAAGTTAAAGTCTATAATTGTAACTTCTTTTTTCCCCCAGTTTGATGTGCAGTTGTTGAGAGCTCAGGGTTTGTTTTTTTTCAGTTTTTCTAAATGCACTGAATACATGTGAAATTAAGTCAAAAGAAGCAATGAGATATAGCCATCATATTAACACCAAACTGGAAGCCCAATAAAGGAATGAAGATATAGGCTGTTGTGACTCACACACTCCGCTGGTGGAAACAAATACTGCTGCAGTCACCCCTTCAGGGAACAGCCTGGCCAGAGACAAGCAAAGTGAACCCTTCAGCTAAGACCCAGAAATTCTGCTTCAGACGTGTGCCCTCCAAGGAGCCATGCACACATGCACCTGGAGGTGCCAGCAAGGATTTCACAGCATCATTTACAAAATCAGAAACTAGAAATGACCCCATAGCACTGAACATATCTGCTAGAGTCACATGAACTGTTTCTACCACGGTCAAAATGACTGAATTAGCTCTGCATGTATCGATATGGATAAAATAATGTTGAATTTAAAAATCCAGGTGTAAGAGGCTGCTTGCTGTGTGATACCATTTACTAACCCTCCCGAACACCTGACACGATACTCATTTGTCCTAGGTACACACGTGTGGGACACATGGACAGAAAAGACACATGCCAGCTAGTAAACGATAGAAGCAGGATTTACATCTGGGGAGTGATTCCCACATTTGTGTCCTTAACCGTAATGCCTTGCTGCTCCTCAAGAAGAATGTTTCTTATTCTAGTTCACTGCATTCTTGCTTTTCCACCGCCTGCAGAGTGTCCGGACTCATGGCCACCCAACCACTAATTGGCTGTCATCTTCCTTTTCCACGGCCATAGTCAAATGATTAGAAAACCAGCCCTCTGTGCTTCTCTGTACCTTCTTCACAGGCTTAGTCATCACAAGGACAACTCCAGACTTAGACCTGCCTTCCAGGGTTCAAGCTCTCTTAGGCCAAGCTCACATTGTATGTTACAGTCATTTATCTATGTGACTGTCTCCTGAGCTAAACTTTCTGACCACAGGGACACCTCCTATCTTCTAGACACTTCTGAATCCCCTGACATGGCACCTGGTACTTTCTCAAGGAAAAAATCCTGTCTAATTAATTAATTAATGGCATAATAGAGTGCATTTGGGTTCTGGATTAGGCTATCAGTCCTAGAAAGCTTAAAGTAGGGCACTAGATAATTGGCAAACACTTTAAATAATGGAAATGAAAACAGAAGCATTTTCCAAGGATATCTCTTCATATCAGGCCAAAATTATCCTCTAGATAGCACTGAAAACTCACCAAGGCACCCACTAACATCACTTCGTCTCCTAAAGGGAGAACTGTGATTTGTGCTAACACAGACTTGAATATATTTGTTGTTCACTGGGACAGCAATAAACCCCCCTATGGTAACAATACTTTAGTTCATGAGAACTGCATATATTTGGCTCTTTATTTTTATAGTGTCAATGGTGGCGATTTGTTGAAGGTACATTGTATTAATAATAATTTTAAAAGTTAATTTAGTTAAGTTGAAGTCAGATTCATCTAGCAAAAAGAAAAGAAAATAACCTCTCAAAATATATCAACATCCTATTGTATTCAAATTTTCATTCATAGTTTTGGCTTTCTATATTATAGCTCTTAAATATGCAATCACTATAGCATTAGTAGTTCTTTTTAATTTGCAAACACAGCTAAATAACTTTATGTGTGTGTGTGTATGTGTGTATTATATCTTGTAGGCAAACAAGAAAACTCCGTGATGCTGAACAAGAAACAGATCGAACATTGCTTAAGACCATCATAAAAGTCTGGAAAGAAATGAAGTCCCTGCGAGAGTTCCAGAGGTTTACAAACACGCCCTTGAAACTTGTTTTGAGAAAGTAGGCTTTTTTCAAAAATTGTTTTATTGTGTTATATCATAGAGAAAAATGTATAAAACATAGGTACAGTTTTAAAAATAATCACAAAAAATACTTACAAATGAATAACCATGTAACCACTCCCCAGGTTCAGAAATAGAGCATAACCTGTTAGCCCCATGTTCCTAACCCCAACTCGACCCCCCTCGTCCCAGAAGTAACCATTTTCTGGACTTTTATGATCAGTGTTTCCTTGATTTTATTTATAGGTTTGCCATTGATGTATAATCCCTGGGAACATATAGTTTTTTACTTTTCCATAAATAAAAGTATTTTGTGTGTATTCTTTAGTGAATACACACTTGTTTCTTTTCTTTAATACTATGTGAGAACCATCTACCTTATGGCACATAGCTGCAGTTTCCTTGCTTTATAATTCTTCATTATATGAATATCACAGGATTTCTCCATTTTATTGTTGGTGGACATTGAGTTGATCCCATTTTTCAATTGTTATAAACAGCACTCCTGTGGACATTTTTGTGGACATGTCTTTTAGGGTTTGTGTGTTACACCTTCCAGAAGTATACCTGGAAGTGAAATTGTTGAGTCTTAAGGGAGGCATTTTGCCAAGAATTTACATTTATGTGCTGAATCCAGACATTTTTGCAGAGTGATTGAGCTGATTTGTACTCTGACCAGTGTCCTCGTAGATCCAGATCACCCATATCCATCTCGCCTGATGTTGTCCAACATGAACATTGTACTAATCTAATGATGGCCTGTTTTAATTTTTATTTCCCAGACATGAGTTGGCCATCTTGGTTTCCTCTTCTCTGAGGTGTCTGTTCAAGGCTTTTGTTGATTTTGACCTGGATTGATTGTTCTTTTACCGTTTTCATAATTCGTAGGCGTTCAGCATACACCCCGCTCACGAGACCTTTGTGGATGGTGCCTGCCGCAGTGGCCTCTCCCATCTGAACCTGTCTTTTTACTCTCTTTCTGCTGCTTTTTGATGAATAGTTCTTAACTTTAAAAAGAATATTTTAGACTTTTCTTTTGTGATCGGTGCTTTTCATATCTGCTGAAGAAAACCTCTGACTCGTGTAGATAGTCCATGTGGTCTGTATATTGTCTCCTGCAGTCTTTACAGCTTTATCTTTCACATCCATCTCCAACTCACTCGGAGCTTACCAGGGCCTGGTGTGGGGAAGGTGTGCTTTGATAGCACTTATGCTAAGGAGGCCTCATTCACTAGGCTTTGATCCATGAGCAAGAGCGCAGTTAACAAGCAGAGCCTTGTTCTGTGTATTGATTCAAGAGTGTCTCTGCTGGTGTTGGTCCTCTCCGGATGGTTTCTTCTGAATGAGTGTTGTGTCCGTATACCAACACGAAAGTGACAAGTGTGGGCAATGAGCTGGTGCTTGGCTTTGAAATCAGCCATGTTTTAGCCAAAGAGAGCTGCGGCTGGTGATTTTGGGGTGTTGTAATCATCAGAGGCTGAGAAGACATCCTCCCAATGTAAACTGTGCTCTGTGAGGTCAGGGACCTTGTTGCCACTGGAACTCTGGTCCCCAAATGAGCACCTGCCACTGGGTGTGTGCTCATTGAATGTTAGTTCATGAAAAACAAATTCAAAGAGTTTCTCCCACAGAAACCATGGATGTTTCCCAGAAATTCCGGTGTTTCTACTTCTAAATTCTGTCTCCCAGGCTACCCTTCTAACCTCAATGGAGAATGTAAATATTTATAAGATTGTTTTCTCCTTCCTTCCTTCCTTCTTTTCTCCTTCCTAAGTTTAGGATTGCGAGAGTCCACGGCCAGCGTGGCTTTCGTGGGTTCAAAGACTTGGAGAGAGGGCTGATGCACAAATGATACACAAGATGGAATATTAATTTTTAATTACTGGGGGAACCAGAGGACAGCCTAACCATAGCGGTCAAGCTCTCTTTGTTGCTCCATTCCCAGCTGCTTTTATTCGCTAGAATACACAATTGCCTTTAGGAATGCAAACAGACATATCAATGGTAATGTTTAGCAAACAGTAAGATTGTCAGGTCTTGTGGGAGTTTGCTTTAGACCATTGACTCAGCAGCAGGTAATAAAATGTAGATATTCACCCTGTGAATATCAAAAGGAGTCCTGGTCAGCCTTCTGCCAGACTCCTCACATTTATATCAATTACTGTTGATCTTGGTCGCCAGCATAGGATAAACTGAATTTTATAGGAGATTTACCCTTCAGGTCACCTCTAGGTTGTCACTTTCATAAAAATTGGGCCCTGTTTTTCCCTAAGTGCTTCTTCCTAACTTCTTCTGGAGTGCCCTTCATTCACATTTGTGGTTCCTCGAGCCACCTTATGATACAGCATAATTTTTTTCCTGCACAAGTTCCCCAGTTTCCACCAGCTCATTTGTGTTTCTGAATAACAAGGAGGAAGTGAATGCTTCCTTATATATCAGAGATGGAACTAAATTTTTGAGCCAGACTTCCCCAATGTTTATAAATGTGAGGTGTCACTGTGCTTCCAAAGGGGTTTCTTAGGTAGAATCCTAGAAATCTGTAAATGTCTGTGCCTTGGGGGACTGCTAATTGCCTAAGCACCAGGCTACACATGTACATAGCAAACATTAGTCAGCTCTGGGCACCTGACTAAGTTTATCTAAAAGGGATGAGGAGCTTGAAGAGGCCAGATGGCATTGACCTGACCAGACCACATTAGGAGATAAGCACAGGTGATGAGTGGCAACAGCTCTAAGTGCTGGGTGGGACGTGCTGGGTGGGACACACTGGGTAGGCATGTTGGCCATCCCCCTCCTAAAGAGTCACACTGCCCATTAACAGGTAAAGGGCCCTGCAAAGATGAGCAAGAGGCCACTCCCATTTGTTTAGCCTCAGGTTGACTTGGGCATTCGCAGAACTAGTGTTCTACAGAACATACCTTGGGAACCACTGCCTTGGGTTGAGCCGAACTCCTGATGGAGTGTCCGCAGAATCATCCAAGAAAAACTCAAATTGTCAATCCCAAGTCAAAAAGTGGCTTTAGGGACTGGGTAGCAACATGATGAAGTGAGTCGTCAGAGATTTGAAGGATTAATAAGATAACTATAGTGACCTTCTACCACTACAGGTGGAGAGTTTACTGGCACCATGTCAGTATGCCATCTGTAAAAATTGGGCCCTGTTTTTCCCTAAGTGCTTCTTCCTAACTTCTTCTGGAGTGCCCTTCATTCACATTTGTGGTTCCTCGAGCCACCTTATGATACAGCATAATTTTTTTCCTGCACAAGTTCCCCAGTTTCCACCAGCTCATTTGTGTTTCTGAATAACAAGGAGGAAGTGAATGCTTCCTTATATATCAGAGATGGAACTAAATTTTTGAGCCAGACTTCCCCAATGTTTATAAATGTGAGGTGTCACTGTGCTTGCAAAGGGGTTTCTTAGGTAGAATCCTAGAAATCTGTAAACGTCTGTGCCTTGGGGGACTGCTAATTGCCTAAGCACCAGGCTACACATGTACATAGCAAACATTTGTCAGCTCTGGGCACCTGGCTAAGTTTATCTAAAAGGGATGAGGAGCTTTAAGAGGCCAGATGGCATTGACCTGACCAGAACACATTAGGAGATAAGCACAGGTGATGAGTGGGAACAGCTCTAAGTGCCGGGTGGGACGTGCTGGGTGGGACGCACTGGGTAGGCATGTTGGCCATCCCCCTCCTAAAGAGTCACACTGCCCATTAACAGGTAAAGGGCTCTGCAAAGATGAGCAAGAGGCCGCTCCCATTGGTTTAACCTCAGGTTGACTTGGGCATTCGCAGAACTAGTGTTCTACAGAACATACCTTGGGAACCACTGCCTTGGGTTGAGCCAAACTCCTGATGGAGTGTCCGCAGAATCATCCAAGAAAAACTCAAATTGTCAATCCCAAGTCAAAAAGTGGCTTTAGGGACAGGGTAGCAACATGATGAAGTGAGTCGTCAGAGACTTGAAGGTTTAATAAGATAATTATAGTGACCTTCTACCGCTACAAGTGGAGAGTTTACTGGCACCATGTCAGTATGCCATCTGGGTAACTTAACTCAGAGTGGCATTGTTGTTTAGCAGTAAATATTCCAGCTCTTCCACCACCAGCTGGTGTTCTTGGGTAAGTTACTTACCCTCTCTGTGCCTGTCTTCTTGTGTATAAAACGTGATGATTAGTCTCTGTATCGCGGGAATGTGAGCTGACATGTGCAGAACTTTTAGAGGAGTTCCTGCCACAAATCAAGCCTGGTGCAGGTGGTTGCTGTTATTATTACTCTATTATTCATTTCAAGAAATAACCAAGGTACTATGAATTATTTTAAAGGGAAAAAGTGGACCAGAAAGCAGACGAAGAAGCATATGAAGCAGAAATTCAAGCTGAAATAAGCGAATTGTTGGAAGAACACTCGGAAGAGTACGAGCAGAAGATGGAAGAATACAGAACTGAGTATCAGCAGTGGAAAGCCTGGAGGAAAGCCCAGGTTTGCACACGGAGCCTCAGCCTTGAACTGGGCTGACCTGGGGGAAGGGGAGGGTCTAGAGGGCACCCCATGAGACAGAAGGAGGGAAACTGCTGGCTCTGCTCTGTCTCTCTCCTTGCCCCCTCGCCAGGGAACAAAAGATGAGTGAATGAACTGGCTAATGAATGCACTTGTTTAAAAAGCTGCAGAGCTAGCTGAAACCAGAGCCAGGGTTCTCCAACTGTGTGTTCTTGGGCAAGTTACTCTTGCTATCACTGTTAGCTCTCTGTTACCACTCTGTGGCTATCTGAGTGAACAAACAAGTCATAACAGTACTTGTTCATGTATGTGTCAGGCATGTTTCATGCATCGTCCCATTGAATGGAGGGCATTGATGCTTCTGGTTCTCCCTCAGAAAACTACATAACTTTGTACAAATGATCTGCAAAATTGAATCCAAGGGGAATAAGTAATAGATGAGGGGGACCTGCAGTGCCAGTCCTGCTCACAGCCTTACTGTTAAAAAGTGTGTGTGTGTGTGTGTGTGTGTGTGTGT